GCCTCCCTGGGGTGAAGACATGCCTCGGAGGAACACAAAACAATGCCAAGTTCTCAGAGCCGGGGTGCCCAGCAGCCTCCATCTGCTCACGCACTGAGTTCAAACGATGGATGAGGGCTGTGGGTGCCGTGCGCTGAGAAAGACGATAACCCACAAGGCAAGACTGCCGGGGCGTAGGTACGGAAGCAAAGAGTGCCCATAACACATCTATACACTGTGGGGTGGGAAAGAACCAGGTATGCCAGGAACCTGTTTACTCCTGCTTCCCTGTGGCAGCCCCTGGAACGGAGGGCTCATACAAAGTCACCCACACATGATGCTGTACCCCAAACTCCAGGCAGAGAAATGAACTCTTTAGAAGTGTAACACAGCTCACTCTGGTCCCCCTGTAAAGCTGTCTTCAGTCTCAAGTGTCCACACACGACGGACCAGTGTCCCCAGCCACAGCTGGAGAGTCACGGTGCTTCTTAACGTCCAAGTTTATGGCAGAAAGAAAGAGGTGCATAATTCAACTGCAACGTGGCTGGCAAAGCCCAGAAAGAGAACAAATTCAAAGCTTAACTTTAAAATAAACGAACAGATAGGTGGAGTCGATAGATTCCCTTTTAAAAATAGTCCCATTTGTTTGTGTTCTAGATGGGGTTTCTTTGTTCCTTAGGTAATGAGCTGTCCCAAAGATAGATCTGCTCCAGCCATTTCCTTGTCAATGAAATGAAGGCAGCAAACAAATCTTTATCGACTCATCTAAAGTTTACCCTCTGTGCCAGGCACTACGTGTACTGGGTACTTTTACATGTACTGTCTGACACAGTTTGATGGCTCTTAGTTTAGAAACATGGTTGCTGAAGGTCACACAGCCTGGAAGAAGCAGATTTGATGGGGTTAGTGAATACCACTCTAAACCCGATCTTCTCACTCCACTATGGCTTCCCCATAAACCAGTCTCACGCTGCTTCCGAAATCTGCTTTCTGATGTACAGACCCTCTATGTCACTCTCAACGGCCTCTACCCTTTCCACAGCTTGCTCCTGTGCTCAGGGCGAAGCCTAAACATCTTCAGAGCCATTCCCCCCCCCACCAGGAACTTTTGCTTTTTTTCTTTCCTCCCATTTCCCCCACTCTGCTCCAGCCTCCTAACCTACTCCTCTAGCAACTCTGTAGATCCTGATTCTTCCACAATACATCACATGCCCCCTTCCTCTCTCTCTGAGCCTGGTCCTTGTTTCCCTAGTTCCCTGCTTCTTTGCTCCCCTGCCCTGAGAAGCATGTGCTTGGATGGCACTGACTCTATCCACGAGGAGAGGAGTCCTTTTGGCTGCTTCTTTTTTTCAGATAGTTCAGAAAGAACCTGATCCAAGCTAGGTTGTCTTCTACGCTTTCTCATTTGTTAATTTCTCTATCTTTTGCACAGTGAAAGATTGGGCTTTGGCAAGGAACTCTCAGTAAGCCAGAGGACTGGATTTGAATTCAGTGCACTTTTTTGCTCATTTTATTTATTTGTTATTATTTGTGGAACTCTGTTGAAAAGCAATGCAACACTGTGTGTGCATGTGTGTGTGCTTGTGTGTGTGTGTGTGTACAACAGTAATCCTTTATAAAAATTAATTTGTAAGAGCAAAGGAAATTAAGGGGGAAGGAAGGAAGAGCCACCTAAAGACCCCCAAACTAAATAGGTATCAATAACTTGACAAATGACTCTTCAATTGATAAACACGGGCTTGAGCGTATGTGTGGACACAATGACACACTGTAAAGGGGATTCTGAGTGGCATCTAAGTCCTTGCTTCAGGAACCTTGGAGCACTGCTGTGTGTGTCATACCTGTGTGGCTGGGAGAATGACATTTTGTCTCAGTTTATTCACCTGTAAAAGGAAGAATAAAGTCAGGGTATACAAAGATCTGGTTTCCTCCCACATATGACAAGATGACATCTCCAGACCTTCTCATGCAGGACAATGACAGCAGCCTGTGGGAAAGGAGCTGTCAGGGGAACTGATCTCAGAGGTCAGAGGTCAGAGCTTCAGAATCTCCCTGCAATGAACATCAAGTTGAGGTTTCTCATTCTCCTGTGATCTGTTCCATTTTTCTCCCTTCACCCTTTCATATTTCCTCCCCAAATAAACTGCTGAGAAATGAGTTACATTATATTCTCTTAGCAAAGCACCTATACATAATAGGTACATACATGTACACACATACAAATATCCGTTTCATGATTCTTAGACATAAGAAAAGCTCAAGAATGGTAGTTGATTTCAGAATAGTACTCTTGGACAGGGAAATGGGGCTCTTCAGGAACAATTCAGCCTTTCTTGTAAGAGATGAGGGACCTGGAGTCAGGCAGCCCACAGAAGTTTCAGGAGGTCGGCTAGGCTAACAAGGAACCTAAGCCATGGCTATGAAATACGCAAGTCAAATCTGCTTCCTGTGGATAACAGGAAAAAAGAAAAGAAACAGAAACATAATTCCAAAAGAAACTACGCCTATTGCTTAAGACTTCACACACACACACACACACACACACACACACACACACACTTAACACAATTGTTCTAACAAGTGACTTGTACATAAAATATAGCGATTGTAATTACCTGGTACAATGTTTTGCTTATTTAAAAAAACTGGCCGGTGTCTTAGGGTTTTTATTGCTGTGAAGGAACACCATGACCACAGCAACTCTTCTAAGGAAAATGTTTAATTAGGGTGACTTCGCTTACAATTTCAGAAGTTCAGTTCCTTATCATCATGGTGGGAAGCATGGCGGTATGCAGGCAAACATGGGGGCTGGAATAGCTGAGAGTCTTAAATCTTGCAGGCAACAGGAAATCAACTGAGACACTGGGCAGTATCTTGAGCATAGGAAACCTCAAAGCTTGCCCCCACAGTGGAACACTTCCTCCAACAAGGCCAAAGCCACTCCAACAAAACGGCGCCTCCTAATAGTGCCACTCTCATGAGATCATGGGAGTCAATTACACTCAAACCACCACAGCCTGATTCTTGTCTTGGAAAGTACAGTTATCATTATATGTGACCTGGTTACAAGCAAATTTGCTAGATTTACAGATAAATTAGAATGTATAGAGTTAAAAAAAAAACTTTAGCCAAAACCTAGATTTAAAATCAGTGTCCTGTCCTTCGTGTACACATGCCTGTGTGGACATGCACAAATGCATATGCGTACATGTAGCATGTATACTAGAAACCACTGAGAAATAGCAGATGGGACAAAAACCTTGATGTGGAGACTAGGACATGGCTGCTGAGAGATGAGTCTTAATAAGGTTTAAAATATAACATCAAATCATATTAATTACAACAACATCCCTTTACAGTCTTCAGATCCCAGTCTCCATCAAAGGCCTTAGCAGCTCTGAAGCCGCTCCAGCTCTGACCAGAGGCTAACGACCCATCAGTGGGAAAGGGGAGAGATTGTAACTTGAGTCAGTTGGGGGATGGCTGCGGCACAGCTTCTAGGCCAAGATAGCCTTCTTCAAATATAAGATGTGTAACTGCTCCGGAACGCATGTGCCCTGACCATCCCTCAGGAATGTTTTTGCAAGGACTCTGCATGGGGAGATTAGACCAGCTAGCCTCAACCACAGCATTCCTCCCAGTCTAGGGAGTTTGACAGCTTGTAGCGGGAGCAAAACTGCATGTATTTCACACAGGAGTAGATCAAATCATTCCATTTCCTTTCTGGGGAAGAGCACTCTAGAGTAGAGAACTGCTGACCGGGATTGAGTCCCTCAATGGGGAAAAATGTGTTGATGTATCTATAACCTTGGTGACCAGAATGTAATGGTTATTCAGTGCACCGTCCCTTCCCACTCCCACCACAGAGACAACAGCATCTAGTCAACCCCCAAAGTCTAGAGACAAGTGGCATGTCAGTCAAATCTAGGCTACTGTGTGCAGGTGGAGAGAGTGATAGCCAGACCTCCTCACGTGTGTTATGCTGCTGCCGAGAGCAGGTGTAAACCTCCTGCCTCCCAATCCCTGGAGCCGCTCTCACAAAACACACGCTACGGGAACATGTGATTCACTGAACCACAGTTATGAGAAGCAGGAACCAAGAGTTCATGGTCAGGGAATTCGCCGGCACACTGCCTGGAACACTCCCCACACTTCCGTATACACTTGAATGGCTGGGGGAGGTAGAGAGCTGAGCCCCAGGGGTTTCCACTCAGATGTCTCAGGTACAGACTCAGAATTTACACTTCTGATATCAAGCAGTTGACGTTGACTCTGTGGTCAGTCGAACATAGTTTGAGCTCACTGCCTAGTTCCAAATCACCAAAGAACTCAGTTACAATGGTGAGAAGTTCCAGAAATTATCTCAGTGATCCCTCCCCTACTGACCTCTGTGCCTTTGCTGGCCACCCACCCCTCTTTTGTGTAAGCTGATCTCTGAGGAGCACCCCAAATGACTGCTATGCCATAAGGAGTTCTGGCAGATGTTGTCTTATAATGGACACAATACACAAAGCTAAAGGGTACCACCTCTCAATTTGATTATGGTCTCTTTTGCTTGGTCTCCCTTTGCCTTTCTGCCTTGCTCATTCTGACGATGGGAGTTATCAAGGGATGGCCTGGCCTACATGGCACCAACTGTGGCTACCTTCGGGCCAACAGCCAGCAACCACCAAGCCAACTCCTGCCAACAACCTTGTGAAACAGTTAGAAGCAGTTTCTTCTCTAACTGAACCCAAGGTGACTCCTCCCCCAGCCAACACCTTGATTGCGGTCTTGTAAGCCATCCTGAGCCTGAAAACCCAGCGAGGTCACACTTGGATCACTGCCCTTCAAGCACAAGGAGATGAATACTCAGTGTTGTTACAAACCACTTAGAGTGGTGTGTGGTTACAGATAACTCACAGAGGTGTTTTATAAAGGAACCACTCTGAAGTAGTACGGCATCTTGGTATTTGATCCATACTTCAAGCTATTCTGTTCATCTCCCCCTCCCCCATGATAAAGAAGACAAAAGGCGTATATAAATGTAAATAGTCAACATTTAATGATATACAGTATTTACAATTAATGCATGGCATAATTCTCAAGCCTCAGCCCTGGGGGAGTTTCCCTTGATTCTCTGGAAGGCTGCACAAGAGCCCTGCTTCCAGGTAGAATGGAGAATATGGGTGTCAGTTAGACCTCTGTGCCTTCCACCTGGTCCTTCTGGGGCTATGTCCCTTGAGCTACAACTATGCTGAATTTCTGTGCCTATGGTCCCCATGAGCATGGAGTACTGACTCCTTTGGTTCCTCCACTGGAACTGAAGAGTCTTTCCCTGAGAACACTGCTGAGGGCACCAGGATGGGCCTGCTCAACCTTTCCCCAGCACAGGGCCGGCTTTCCTTACTGTCTGCAGAGCTGGGTTGAGAGAAGACATTTTCAAAGCTGTCTGTGTAGAGGAGTCACACAGTGACCTGGGCGGAGATCCAGAAGCGAAGCATGGGGCCAAGATGCTCCTCCCAGAGCCCCTCTCCTTCTGAGCTTTGCTGCCCTTCTCCATAAAATGAGGGGAAAGTTTGAACCCTCCCAGGCCAGATCTAAGAACATGGGGCAGGAAGGCAGCATCTCACCACGGCAAAGTGGTCAGAAAGAAGATGGATCTCTTCAGAGGGCCAGGCTCCCGCCACTGAGCCACCGAGCCCTCTCTGCGGAGCACCCCAAGGGATTGCTGTGCCACAAGGGACTCTGGCAGATGTTGTCTAGTCTGTTCTTAATGGTGTCCTGCAGCTCCTCGTCACCCAGCAGGACCGCAGCTGCTAGCGCCAGCAGGAAGTATTCAGTAGCATCATGAGCGTCCTAATCCCATGGGGCAAAGAAGAGACAGACATATTAGCAGCACTTCCAGGGCAGGGTTAGTCTATACTGAAAACAGTAACACTTTTCAATTACTGCTTCCCCACATCCCGGGGCCTCACGGAAGTTCTTTCCCCTGCTGTACTCTGGCTCCAGTGGTACCGTCAGTCACGGTACCCCTTGGGCACAGAAGTGGCATCTTTCCTATGTCATCCAATCATGACACAACACTGCACTGGACACAGCATTTGGACGGTGTTTGCATGACCCAAACCCATAGTATGACCCAACAAGGAACATTGTAAGTGAGGCCGAGACATACAGAGAAGTAGGAACACGCAATGTCAAGAAGGAGATGGGAGAAATCCATGAAGCTGAAGGAGGAACAGGGTCCAGAAGAACCCAAAACTTAATCTGTACTTCAGCTTCCAGTTACAACTGCTTACCGTCGACCAAGGATTTTTCCTTTGCAATGCCTGGAGTCCTTGGATGATGCAACCGGGTGGCACATTCTCTGTCCCTGAGCCGCTTGCCATGGCACTACAGTGTGATGGCTAAGTGGCCTTCACTCGCCTGTCCCTCTCTACACAGTAGGATGAGAAACAGATGCTTCTTCAGGCAAAAGGAGATGCAAAGGATGCAGAAAGAGACACCTGGTTCTCGTTACCTGTATAATTATTTCAGGCCAGAATTACAGTTTCACCAGTAAGGTCAGCAGAGCCATCCCAAGTCTCCCTTTGAGGTCAAAGTTAGACAAGACTCACAAGCCACTGTATTAGGAGATTAGGAGTTATCCTGGGGTGACAAGGACCTTTGGAAGGGGAAAAAAACTTAAGGGTACAATTTTGGGGTCAGAGTTGTGACAGAACTGCAGGCTACCAACTCACTTCCAGAAGGAAGGAACTGGGTGCTGTAGATTGAACTCCAGGAAGAGAATCAAGACAAGAACTTTCTTAGGGTTTAGAGATCCTTATATCCAAGGTTCCAGACATGATTATCTCAAACATACTTTAATGCATGTGTGTTTCTTATACAAGGTAGTTTCCTACAAAATGTGGGGCACTGACTTAGAACATTTGATAGACTTCTCCAGTGGGGTTTAACAGGAAAAAACCTCATGTTCCCAGTGAAACCACCCCTTCATTCATATCCTCTGGATGAAGGTGGATCATATCAGGCCACTGGTTCTCTCATCTCTGTTCCAAAGCCCCTCACTCTTTCTCAGCAAAGAGCGGCTGAACAGGTAGCTCTCAAAAGTCCACCATGGAAGACCAGTTCTTACCTTCAGCTGGTAGAAAGTGAGGCGGCCCAGGCGGTAATACACCTTGGCGTAGTACAGGGCCTCCCTGGGACTCTGTAGCCATGCTGGACAGAGGGACAGAGTCCTCAGATAGCAGTCTTCAGCCATCTCATACATGTTCAGAGAGAAGTACACCGTAGCCAGGCGGTGAAAAGCCACCAGCTCCTGCTTCTGATCTCCTGGAAATTACAAGAGTAAGGGGAAGTCCCGTAGTCAGCACTGGGCATTGCTCACTCATTCAGCCCAGAAGACTTTCTGAGTCCACTAGATGTCACAGATAAGAAACATCAGAAAGAGCACAGAGGAGGTCCCTGCCCTGGTGGGCTCAGTGTTTCAGAATGAGGAACTCCTTCAGTGATCCCACAAATAAATAGACCATTGTGCCTATGGAACGTGCTACCAAGACAGCCACAGAAATGCTGAGCTATCCGATTTCTGGAAGAAAATGTTCTCTGTGCTGCTGCTGATACTGTAATTCAGTACTGAGAGGGGAGTTGCTTCTTAAAACCCGTGATGGGTTGTGATGAGAGGTCAAGCTTAATTAAGCAATTAGGAATGGCTTCCAGTGAAGAACACTGGGTAGCAGACGTCCTTTCCACATGAAGTTTCTCCAGAAAACACAGTGACCTCTCAGCTCCTCACCAACTCTCGGGTTCGTGGACTCTACAGAGTCCCATTCTCTTTCGGTCTAAGCTTTCATAGAAGTGGCTTTGTGTGTGCTTGGGGCTTAAGGTGTTTGAAGTTTGTGTGAGTTTATGCTTTTAATAAGTGACCATTTTAATACAAAGTCCTTTTATTAATACAGAGAACAAAAGCCCGTCATCCAGTCCTCTTTGGAATGCTTGCAAGGTAGCTATTTGATGACATCTTTTAAAAAAAAAAAAAACCTTAAAAAAAATCTCTTAAACTTCAAAGAACCAAAAGTCAAAATTATAAAACATACACACACAAACAAAACAAAAAAACCCCACAGTCCCAAGGAGAGAAAATTCTCTGTTCTCGGAAATGTAATCACACACACACCTGTGTGAGGTGAGGCCAGCCTCCTTAAAGCTCCATTCCAGGAAACAATAGAGACAGAGTACTCACAGAGTACTCTGACTGAGCTGCCCAAGGTCCCTCAGGCCCTTCCTGAGGTCAGGGACAAAGCTCTGATGAGGTTTCCTGCAGCTGAAGAGGAGGAGAAAGGCAAGGGTCCTCTGGCTCAACTAGACACAGAGCCCACTGCCCTCCTGCACCAGTTGACCTTGAAAATGGCTAGAAGTCCCTTCTAGAACCACAGAGGAAGTCTCCATCCACTCCAGCATCGAATCAAGGCTTCTCTGACCCAGACAGCTTTTCCTGAAGTACACACACTCAAAACTGAGTTTATATTCAATCGTTTTAATTCACCCTTCGCTCCCTGCCAATGGCTTCCACTATTTCCCATTAGCTTTCCCTGTAAGTGAAAGCTCTTTTAACGATGTCCTGAGTTAGGTCAATGGGAACCTGACCTTCATTTGTGCTTCTGCTCAATGGGGAAAATGTGCTTTTGCCTAACTATCAATCAATTTGAATTTGGTGGAAAAGGTCTTTATGCGATAAAGATGTCACATATGCTTAGACTAAAGTACCATTTACCTCATGGGGGAATATCACCAACTGTGATATAATAGTTAGCATTGGCAACTGACCTCAGAATGAGGACTTGCACCCCTCACCCCCATGCTGCCATATGTATATGGACAACCATTGCTCTTCGTAACAGAATTGTAGACACTCATTTGAAACCTGCTCCGTCGATGAGGAACAAAATTTGTGGAAATTAAATCTTGCTCAATTACAGTTCGGATTTGCTGAACCTGGGATTAGAACCTACAGAGCGTGAGACCAGAGCTGGTGCCCACTGCCTTACTAGCCATGCCTGCAGAGTGTTTGTTTCTCAGGCACTGTGCACCTATGGGATAGGGCCACCTACCTGTGAGGACACTCAGCCGGGCAGCCAGGGTGGCAAATTCCAAGGCTTTTTCATAGCCCTCGAGGCTGATCTGTAGCTCGGTCAGTTTGTTGAAGATCCGTAGCTCGGTTCTCACCGCCTTCATTCTCCTCGCTAAAGGAACGGCCCCAGCCTGAGAACCGAGACATGGCTATCTTAATCCGCAGACACACCACACTCTACAAGGCTGGCTTCTCCTGGAGGAATTGGGGTGACCACTGGGCTCCCACTGCCGCCTTTTCTCAGCTGCTCTACTCTTGGTGTATTACCTAGGTTTAAGAACTGGAGGCCATTGGACCTTCTATAATAGGGGGCAACTGAACGCAGAAAAGAAGTCAGTTTCCTAATGATAAGGATAGGAGATTTAAAAATTGGCTAGGCAGGGACCCCAAAAGTGAACAGTTCCATTCTTGTCCTTAGCCAGAAGCCAGGCATGTCATCCTTGTCTCCCAGTCAAGATGTCGGAAGGTAACTCTGGCTTGTCACTTCCTGAATGAGTATCTACCTGGGGGCCGGCCATCTTAGGGGGGAAGACTTGCAGACACTAATCCCTTCCAGTGAACAACTCTGGAATGCGATCTCTAGATTTTCATGGTGAAAATGGGTTATATCCATTCTCCAATTAGAGCCCCGATCCTAAATGATTTTAAGGTCTCAGCTCTTAGGAAGGAATGGCCATTGAGAATGCCAAGGCTCTGCTGAGGCCCCATTAAAGAATGGAATCTACCTCTAGCCCTGGATGAAGACCTGACATCCTAACCTGCTCCAGAAACTAGGGTATCACAAACAATTGTCTTCCCCCTTAAGAGTTAATCCATCTGAGCCTGTCAGTCACCTAAAGTCCTGCTAAGAAGATCAGGGAAACTACTGTCCCCCCCCCCCCCCCCCCCTTTAGAGAGAGAATGTACTTCCCCTTCCCAGGAACCCAGCCTCCAGCCACCTGGAGGTCTTCCCTCAGACTGCCAAGCCTCCACCGCGGAGTCTGGTCACTTTTCTGAGTCCTAACTCAGAAGAACACAATGTTTTTTTCTCTTTCTTTCTTTTTTAGCTGTTGGGAAAACTTGAACATATTTCTCCTGAGGCTCTGATCTTTCTCAATCTTTCACTAAACCACGGCCCCTCCTCCACCACCGGGCTCCTTCCAACCAGCATAGCTTTCTCTCCTCTCTGCTTTGTCCTTCTGGTGCTGCCAGGATTTGCTGCCTGCCTGCCTTGTTTTTCTGAAAAACTTTAATAAAGTTGTCTTTGAACTTCTTGCTAGGTCCATTTCCACATTCTTTTATTAACATAATTAATAACTCAAAAGAGGGAACTCCAGTTTCCCCAATAACATATGGCACCCAGGGTGGGAGTCCACAGAATGTCTAATAATAACTCTGAGGTCCCCTGGGGAGTCATTTATGGCAACTGATATATGGAATACTTAAGCGAACAGGTGTCTGAGAATCTTAAGTAAACAATGCTTTCCACCGTTTTCATAATGCTGGAAGTTTAGGCACGTCACTTCATATCTTTAAGCCTTAGTTTTCTTTTTAATTTATTCATTTTTATTTTATGTGTATGAGTGTGTGCTTCCATGTATGTATGTGCACCACATGCATGCAGTGCTTGAGCATGCCAGAAGAGGGTATTAGATTCCCTGGAATTGGAGTTGCGGGCAGTTATGAGCCCCCATGTCGGTGCTGGGCACCAAACACAGGTCCTCTACAAGAGTAGCAAGAGTTCTTAAACACTGAGTCATTTCTCCAGTCCCAAGACAGACAGACAGACAGATATAGACATATAGATATATAGATATATGTATGTATGTATGTCTTTCGAGACAGAATTTCTCAGTAGCCAGTCTAGTTCCAACTCACTCTGTAGACCAGGCTGGCCTTGAACTCACAGAGATCCGCCTGCCTCTGCCTCCCAAGTGCTGGGATATTAAAGGCATATGCCACCACCACCTGGCCATAATCTTTTTATTACACACAAAATCCATATGAAAATAAGTATCCTGATGGTCAGTAATGTGTTTCTTGCTCTCCCACCCACCCTCATTTTTCTATCTAACCATGTATGGTGAAAAAGCAAGCAGCTGAGCAAAGATTGCACACCCAAACAAGCAAAGTTTTAGGACCAAATATTTCCCAAACATCAGTCAGGTGACTAACAGCAATTCATGTATCTGCTAGACCTGGACATTTATTTAATTAGTATTGTTCACTTTCTTAATTTTCTTGCATCATCATTTGAAACAATAACTGTGAAATCATGATCTGATGAGCTGGTGTTGTGCATCTTAATTGTCAAATACACTTTAGTACATGCTTATTAGAAGCACACTAGCATGTTTTTTAGTGTCTGTGGTGGTATGAATGAGATGTCCCCCATAAGTCTCAGGCATCTGAATATTTGGTTTCTAGTTGATGGCTGTTTGAGGAGGATTAGGAGGTATGACCTTACTGGGGGAAGTATGGCCCTGAGAGTAGACTTTGGGGTTCCCAAAGAGTCACCATTTCGAGTTTGTTGTCTCTTGTAGTTTGAGATGTGAGCTCTCAGATGTCACTGCTGCTGTGCCTGCCTGTGGTCACATTTCTCTATTATGACGTTACTCATTCCTTTGGAACCACAAGGCCAAAGCAAACCCTCCTTTCTATAAGTTACTTTGGTCATTGTCTTATACAGCAATAGAAGAGGTAGTCAGAACAATGTCTACCCTTGCATCCCTCTAGATTATCTTCCATAATGCTACATTAATAAGAGAACATGGATAATCTATGAATGCTACCACTGTAAAGTGCTGTACACACAAAAGACCTAATTGAGGTTCATACCTCAAGCCAAAGAGTAACTAAGTTGATGAGATCTTTTACTAGGTTAAAGATGTGGTGAAGACGTGAGTGCTGAACAAGGAAGACAGAGAAGGTCCAGTGGAGCTGCCCACATCTGTGCCAGGGTCTGGCTCAGCACAGGAAGGCCATGGCTTACCCGGTAATACTCCACAGCACGATGTCTATGGCGGGTCCCATTGAAGAACACATCACCTGCTTCTTCGTAAAGCTTAAGAGCAAGGGAGGGCTCCTCTGACCTCAAGGCTGTCTGGATGGCTGCCTAGTGGGACAAAAATGGCTGTCAAAGGCAGAGAAAAGGTCATCAAGAGCTCTGTGAGACAAGCAGGGGGAGCATCCAGGTTACCTAATCAGAATTCTAGAATGCCTAGTCATCGTATGGACTTGGCCTTCACCCATGAGGCTGGCAAGAAGACTCTGATGCTCTGTCTGGAAGCCCCCCTATGTGGGCAGAGAACATTTTTCTGGTGGGACTTGGGGAAATCTTTGTAGAGCACAGATAAACAGTCTGTATTTCCACAGTTAAATGTTTATTCTATTATGCTTCAGGAAAACCATTAAAAATGAGTCAAGCCAGTGATTTGAGACATTATGTAAAGCTAAATGTTTTTAAAAAGTTGGTTTGAAGTTGAGTCCAAGAAAAATAAATAAATAATGGTCAGAGGGTACGTGGATTTAGCAACAGCATCCACTTAATGTATAAATGACTGAATTTGGAAATATGGGATTCACTCCAGCAAGTAAAGACAGCAAAACTTGGAACACATTCACAACTCCTCCAAACTCGCATCCCTCCTTATTAGCAGCAAACACTCTGTGCTTGGTGGCCCCTCCCCCAGCTGCCACAAGCTCTCCTCTCTCAGTACTCAGCCAGCTTAGAGAGTACAGCTGCCTCCCCAAGTGGCCAAGATGGAGCACACCCCAACCCACCTGCAAGTACAATTCCACCACTTCATCCTCCTGCATGAGGTAGTGCAGACGCCCCGCCCCCAGCCAGGCCTTGGCCGCCTTGTCTCTCTCCCCTAGGTCGACAAATATCCGCAGACTCTCCTTGATGCAGTTGAGGGACCTCCTGAGGGACCTGAGGACAGACGCAGACCTGTGAGCTGTGGAGGATCCAAGGGCTCTGAGGTCACTCAGCCCAGGAGGACTTGGGCTGCTAGAAGAGAACAAGCTTGCTGCAGACCACAGGGAGAGCAGGGCCTGGTGTGAAGCTCACCTCTGTGGGCCATGTGACCTTGAGACAGTGTAGCACCTACCCGTGCCTCTGTTTCCCCATCTGTAAAAGGGGAACGTAATTGTCCTGCCTTAGAAGATTAATGTTATGACTGAGAAACATAATACATCTAGAATGTTCAAACTAGTACCTATGAATTACAAGCTGATGAATATTTAAATAGCATCATCACCATTACTAACCCACAACCTTTAGACTACATCACTGTGTGCTTTTAATGGGCACCCTAGAAGACACCAGAGGTACTTTTATGAAATTAATGCCTGAGTGTCCATCATGATAATGCGTAAGATGAAATCATGAAACTTTTGCTGTTTCAATAAGAGAAATCAAAATGGACAGAATTTCTTGAAGTTGGTACTTAATCCTGCTTTAATTATTTGGAAATTCCTTCATTAATGGCTACACTTGAATTATTTCGGGGGCAAATGTGTCACATTGATGACGCAATTTCTCCATGACGGCCATTAATGAAAAACTGGGATGTGGATGGCGTGGTGGTGCAGACCCAGAGTTAGAGAGCAACAGGGCACACCGGGCACCCTCTATGCTACAGATATCACCTCCAACAACAAGGCAGCACGTGGGAGCTTTCAAAACAAACACGTGCAGCCAAGCTGTGCAAGTCACCATGGTATGTTAAAATGTCACACTAGCTAGAGCCCTGGGCAATCTCAGACAGTCTGAGTTATAACCCAGGCACCCGCATTTTGTCATAGCTCGTGTGATTCTGTACAGCTTGGCACAGCTCTGTACCAAGTCCAATCTTTTCAGGCGCTAGAGCACTGGTTCTCAACCTGTGGGTCCTGATCCCTCTGGCAAACCTCTATCTCCAAAACTATTTACATTACAATTCCTAACAGTAGCGAAATGACGGTAATGAAGTAGCCAGTGAAAATAATTTCATGGCTGGGGAGCACTACAACATGAGGAACTGTATCAAAGGGTCCCAGTCGTAGGCAGGTTGGGAACCACTGCTCGAGAGGAAAACAGCCCCAGAGATGGAAAATGACGTCGCGCAGCTGTGCAACACACCGGGAGTAATTCAAAACTCAGAGCTTCACCTGCGGTTTTGAAAGTCTGAACTATCCTCCCTCCCCTGACCTTGGCCTCCACCGCATCAATATTACCTGAGAGCTTCAGCAAACCTCAGATGCCCAGAGACACCTGGGCACAACAGTCACAATCCATAAATCCGAGTTCCTGAGACACACTCTGTTCATGGTCACATGCACCAAAGTCCAGAACACACACACACACACACACACACACACACACACACACACACATCTGTGAGCACGAACACAGGAAGTCACAACAAGCACAGCTATCACCTGTTGGACTTTTGACGCAGCGTGTCTCACGAACGTTAACGTATCTGAGGCTTGATCTTCGCTGAAGCAAAACTGAAAGGTAGTGGGGCCTAGGAGACACAATAGGACTTAATCCAAAGTAGTTGGGCCATTGCTCACAAGAGGGATTACAGGGCTTGTCTGGGACCTCGGTTAGTTCCACTGAGAGTGAGTTGTCCTGAAGAAACAGGACAGCTCTGGTTTCTTATCTCACCAAACATTCTTGCCTTAGTGAAGCCATTAGCCAAGAGGCCTTTGCCAGACCTGGAGTGAGGATGGCTCCAAGCCCAATTGCCTAGCCCGAGGTATTTTGTAATAGCAAGGGAAAATGGATTAATATGCAGGCTCGCCACAGACGACTCAACCGTCAGGCCCTTTCTCCAAGGAGGGATGCAAACACTGCCGTGACTGATGATCTCTGATCTGTTCTGGCAGGGAAGTAGCTTGGGGCCTTCTGGAAAGAATGCCCAGGCATTTGGCCCATGTAAGAGCTAGGAAAGCGCTCTGGTTGTCCCCGCTGTCCTGCCCTTGACATAAGATGATTGGCATCTGGGATGAACATGAGACTCTCTCAAGAATTAGAGACCTCAAGCTTGGACAACGCTGAAATCTGAGAAACTGCATGCAATGCTGTGTTGGCCACTGCCATCCCTGGTTGTGTAGGACACCCATAGCCTTCGTAAAGCCAGGGCAGTCCCGGCCTTCTCTCTGCACACCTCAACAGGGCTGAAACACACCAGGCCAGGCCCCGTCACTCTCCTCAGTCTGACTGAAAGGAATGGTGAGAAAAGAACTGGTAAATCTCCTCTTGATCCTATTTCCTCTTGGGTTTTGCTACCAGTTACAGACCTCAAATGTCCTTCCACTGAAGTTTCTGTCTCCAGATCCTCAGTGAACCCAGGGAACAAGATTTAGATTCTCAGAAGCTAAGGCAGAGTTAGCATTTGATTCCTTGCTAGGGAACAAAGAGATCAGCATCCTCTCTAAGAAACACCCCAGGGTAGAGGTGGGAGGTAAAACTCGAGTCTCCTCAGCGTGGCGACGTCCAGACTCCACTTGAGTGCAGGATTTTCACCAAGACACACATTCATCTTTTTAACAGTCTAAATTGAGAAGTGTGCCCAGCTGCCTTGGGGCTTTTATCACCCCTTACCAGCACCACCCCCGTGACGATAAATCCAACAGCTGTGCTGGGTCACACACAGGCTTGACCTGGAATGACCCAGCATCCTAGCTCCTCTTGCCACCACCTGAAGGTGCTAGATCTGGGCTACTCATGTGACTCTGCCTAGTCAATGTTAATCCCACTTTTATTTTAACCATTTTCCCTGTCTCCAAATTCACACTGGGTCTCAGGGCTTGTTTCTTCCTCCCTGTCCAAACAGGTAAAGTGTGGCAAAGTGATATCAACACATCTATATTCCTAGCAGCAGCATCCTACCAACCAGGTCTGGGTGAACCTGCCTGACCCTTCAACAGAGCCTACTCTCCAGGGATCTAGTCTGACCTTTTCCTCTGGTAAGAGCTCTACTTTCAGAGGGCTGGCCCACTGTCAGGTGGTGGGATGTGCATTTTCAATGCCCATTCTCTCAAGTAGAACTTTAGATTAGCAAGGTGCTTAGCTGATATTACAAATAAACAATGCCCCCCCCCATAAAAAAGGGCATTCCCTCTGGGTGACGACGGCACAGGACTTTAATTCCAGCACTCAGGGAGGCAGAGGCAGGCAGATCTGTGAGTTCAAGACCAGCCTGGTTTACAGAATGAGTTCTAGTACAGCCAGAGATACAAAGAGAAACGCTGTTTCAAAACAACAACAACAACAACAAAAAACCAAAAAAAAAAAAAAAAGGCATTCCCAAGTTCCGTGTTCATTTCTAAAGCTTTACTTTGAAAACTGTTACCTGGAATTTACTGGGCATTTAAGCATTCCCTGGGCACTTTGCGCACATAATCTCTTTAATCATCACAATAGCTCCGAGAGAGCAACACTATTACTACTGTATCCACCTCACGAAAGGGAAAGCAAAGGCTAGTGAAAGAGACAGCTCCGTGGGTTAAGGCACTTATCACCAGATGGGAACATCTGGGTTCTATCCCTGGGGCCTACACGGTAGGCGTAACCTGCCTGTAAAAGCTGTTCTCTGACTTCCGTATGGACACCATCACACACATGCTGTGGACCTCTCTCTCTCTCTCTCTCACAAACACACACACACACACACACACACGCACGCACGCACACACAAGCAAATAAGTAAATGCAATTAAAAATGGAAAAATAAGGCTCAGATAAGTAACTGTGGTCAGGTAATAAACCATGTTTAACCAGAATCTAATTCTAAGAGTCTAAACACATATTCAAACACCCTTATTGGACTTCTGGCTTAGCTCTCAGTTGTGGGAAAGCCTCGATTATTTTTTGCCACTTAAAAAAACAAATGAAAAACCCCTGAAATTGTTAAGGACCCAAATAATTGCAAACCTTGAACAAAATTTCCTTATCTGCAAAGTGGGTGGCAGTGTACCACAGCCTTGGGATCAAGTGTGGACATAGTAAATATAACTATTCTTCATTGCAGAACAGTTACAGATTAGTCATAATGGCTATAGTGGAAACCAGATGTTAGAGACTTTTTTTGTTGTTTCTGTTGTTTGTTTTGTCATTTTTATTTTAATTCCACAGAAGCAAGCAGAATAGAACAAAAGTAAAAGCTGGGAGGAACAGACCCTAAGCTGGTATAGTCTTCCCATGTAGAGACTCCTGGGTCTCCACAAGGGTCTGCGGCACACGAAGCTCTCCCTTTTTCTAGCTAGTGTTATGTGGATGCACTGACCAGTTTCTCCCACCGTGTTAGCAACCGTTCACTGTCTCTTCCCTTTACTGTTCTGTGAGCATAATAGGCTCGCTTAGGGACTGTGATTCTTTTATCTGATTTCCTGATCATTGTCTGAGCCACAGCAATTGATGAATAAATACTTGTTGAGTGGATGAATACTTGATGAATAAATACTTGGGAGCCACAAGGTCCTCCTGAGCCCTATCTGGCTCAGCTCTAGAAAAAGGGGTTGGTCTGTATGGTGGTTTGAATGAGACTGCCCCCCCATCACCACACACACACACACACACACACACACACACACATAGATTCATATGTTTAAATACTTGGTCCTTGGTTGGTAAAATGGTTGGGCAAGATTGAGAGGTACAGCCTTGCTAGAGGAGTTGTGGATTTATTAGAGGTGGTGTCACACACTCATACACACACACACACACACCATTGCAGTTCTGAGATGTGTATAGTGAGCTGTTCCTGCCACCACGCCTTCACCCCGTTGTCATAAGCTCTAACCTTCTAAAACTAAAGTCCTATTAAATGCTGTCTTCTATAAGTCGCCTTGGTCACGGCATCTTACCACAGCGATAGAAAAGTAGCTAACACAGTCTGTATGCGTAGGATCAAGACCCACAATGAGATCCACAAAGACTCC